GGGGTAGATGATACCATTGAAGCCTCTCCTTCAAGAACAATTGGTTATACTCGTGATCAGCCTTTGCTTTTGGATGGGCTCTACAAACAGCCAGATACCACAAAAGTGTAGTGTTCTTCATACTGCGTTGAAACATTTTCCAAACCATAAACTTTAAGCGTAAGTATAAGCGGTTTTCCTGAATGCCCCACAATATTTCAAATTTCGTATTACAACAGGCCATTTTTCTGTTGTTCACAATTTGAACGATCGTTAGTTACCAGTATTCATCGACTAGACACCAATTTGAACCAACATGTCGTGTATAGCCTGTTATCTCGTGGAGTTTAAAATAATTATGGATGCAGTCGATGCAATGACAATGCATACGCCAACAGAATTAAAGAACCCTTGGAATGTCTTCAAGAGTGGGCTTTGTCAGGATGTCAAAATACTCAGACTGAAAAAGAGGAAACATAATTGAAGTACACGCACTCTATCCCAGCCAGCTCTCGTCCAAAGTTTGGTGCTTCGCATGTAATGCGTCACGTTTCCACAGACAAGGCATCGTACAACATAACCACCCTATGTACGCAGGACTACATGACGTTTTACCAAATAACTCATGCTATATGTGAACTGTGGAAGAAATCTGTCATCATCACGTATCAGTATATTTGATTTTGCTTTAACCCATCTGTCATCACAGTTACAGCTATCCATAAAGATTCAGTTTGGTGGAAAACACACACACAAAAAAACCTGTCCTCAAGACATAATGACAAGTCTTCAACTGCCCAATAGTCAACTTTCCCTTTAAGTCGAGTAATATTCCAGTAGCCCCATTTCACAACTACAGACAAGGTACAGTCAAGAAGTTGTTTTCGCGAAGATTTAAAAGACCGTATTGCGACTTTTCCTTAAACGTTTGATCGGATTTTTAACATTCAAGGTTCCAGTAGATATGTTATGGTAGATAGGTGGAAGTCATTTCCAAATTGGATACGTCAGTGACAAAAAGGATGGTGGGTGCATTTACCCCATTTTGACTTATACTATACGTTCTCGTGTGGTTTCAGATGATTACTTGACTTGCCTCTGTATGTGTTTGTGACTATTGACTTTGAACAGAACAGATTCCTCAAGGCAATATTCCGTGCTGATGAAAATCCTTATCACAGGAACTTTAAACAATTACATGTTTATGTCAGGTAATTTCGCGTTTGTGTATAAATTGCACCTGCAAAAGACAGTTTCCGCTCCAATTTGATGCTTTCGTTCTCAGTACACATCCGCAAGCGTATATAACACACGTGTAGCTCAGTTCATGACTTTGTGAACTAACTATCTAGCCAAAAAACGCGAATTCAATTAGATGTAATCTCACATTTTGTGTGTACTCTGTTCACTTTAAAATCAATCTGAGCTGATATCCCGAGGGCTACAATGTGTATACAAACGGGAAACGTCCTGATATTTTTGCCACATCTGGTGTTTAGCTTAAGATTTCAGCGTTGGGCTTAAATATCTTCTTTACAATAACATAATGAGATATGCGCCTGTTCAGTCTTCAATAACACCTCTCTTCATAAAAATATACTTTTTCGTTTATCCCTCTTGAGGTTTTGTGTACCATCGGATGATTGCCGTGGTTCCGACGTACACGGGGTGAGGTCGTCTCAGGGGTCAACTATACAGGGTTGCCTATGCCAGAGAATTACGACCATGGTTCAAATCCAAGATTCACCAGTAGTATTTTATTTTACAAGGTTTGTCGGCATCATACCCTCCATGTGACACAGAAACCATCAACTCGTGAACATCCGGGTTAGAATGGACCTTCAGCAATCCATGATTGTTGTAAGAGGCGACTAACGGGATCGGGTGGTCAGGCTCGCTGACTTGGTTGACACATGTCACCCTATCCCAATTGCGTAGATCGATGCTCATGATGTTGATCGCGGGATTGTCTGGTCCAGACGCGATTACATACAGACCGCCAGCGCTAAAGAACAAACAAATGAGTGGGTGAGTGAGTTTGGATTTACGCCGCTTTTAACAACATTCCAGCAATATCACGGCGGAGGACACCAGAAATGGGCTTCACACATTGTACCCATATGGGGAATCGAACCCGAGTCTTCAGCGTGACGAGCGAACGCTTTAACCACTAGGCCACCCCACCGCCCCTAACACGATGCAACGTAACTAAAGAGCAACACAGTATATCAGAGCTCATCCTCACTGCCAGCAGCGTCTAAGACAGCGGCTTTTCGTATTACTGCAGCAGTAAGCGATGTCGATTTGATGTGACAAATGTCCAATCAACCGCTGAGTTATAGCTCTTCCCACGATCAACGCCTCATCTATGTCCGGGGCAAGATCTGAGACCTGACCCGCATCCTGGCAGGCATTCATTTCTCATTTTCATCATCTATATCATACTTGTGGATAATGTTTGTCTGCCATGTGTGGTCGTAGAGGGAAAACGAGCAAAGGGTGTCGTCCAAAGGGTAACTACATTACTCATTCTATTTTCTCATCTAGACAAGCCAATTCGTTAAGATTGGCAAATGCTTGCCTGGTCAATATAGCCAAAGATGTGGACGTTATGTTGGATCAGAACAGTACTGACTATGTACATATTGCTTGAAAGTATACACTCGCTTAAAATACTCCTTCAAAATTACAAAATGTTTGTTCAGATTGAAATTGCATAGTGAAAGTTGACATGAATAAAATTGCATGAAGATAAATACAGTGCGACATGCTGCTCGGACATTTCATGTAGTACAAATGCAATAGATGAGAAAAACATCTCACTTCATTTGAAAAAACTGAACTGCAGGTGCATTTTGTGCCATGTAATTCAGGTGAAATTGAAGTACCTAAAATGTTATTGCAGAAAGGAGACCAGTAGTCGGTGAATTAGTTGCAGATAATCTACACTTCGATAAGAGTGAAGCGTCATTTCTGTATCCAAATGTTTCTGATAAGTGATATATGAACTGATGATATTTTGTAATGCCCTTGTGAGATTCAGAGACATTTGAATTACGAAAATGATATTGGGTCTAATTTATTTACAATTTTACAGAAACGAAAAAATCGTATTTAAAAAGACCTGTACATGCAGTAAACTATGGTTACAACGAACTCAAGGGGACCGCTAATTTTAGTTCGAAATAACCGTAGTTCGTTATACACATTGTGATTGAAGTATACAGCAAGTGTCCGGAACAGTTCGTTATATCCAGAGGTTATTTATAAACGTAGTCACTATATATGGATAAACAATTGGTAACGGTATATTGTTGCTAGCATTGGTGACAGTTATATAGGCATTAATCAAAGAAAGATTTGAAATCAGATGAAGTACCAGATAGTAACGTGGACTTGTCTGCAAAACAATCATAAAAACGCTATGATGTCCCAGTGAGGCTCAGTGACTTATATTCAACGTCAGTTGGAGGAAAGCTTTTTATCCCACCTTAATCAAATCATTTTACCTTTTCCTTTTATGAGTTTACGCATCAATTTCCCTTTCATGGTCATCGCTTATCTATGCATTCCTAGTGACTTCGTATTCTCTGCGGCCTCACGTTGAGTAATGAGTTCAAAAAGGTCATTCTGAACGCCGTAAACAGATGGCGTGATTACATGGTCACATTCTCACGAGACTCAGAGCCGTCCTTTTATCAGAACCATTCATACCATATTAATGATCGACCTGATAAACCAGCTTTTGATCAAGTTCATCAAAATCTACTATATTTGTCTTTTTTCAATTATTACGATGTTACGTCTAATCGGCTTCGCTGAAAGCGACGTTATTGTAACGTCAGTTTCCGTGATGGCAATTAACTTTTGAAAAATGTTTAGATTTGATTTTATTATAACAGTATAAATTAAGATTGTTCATCTTGAAAAGTACATACATTAATTACATTATATTCCATCATGTATCCGATTATCTCTGATACGTATTTGAACATTAGAAATGTTTCGCGAACAATAAGGAGGAATATAGGTATGTAACCATTTTTGCAGAAAGTATTGAAGAAACATTTCGCCAAACTTTGCTGATTAGAAATTGAGTAGCTGAGAGGGTTATAGATTCCATAGTACAGCGGGAGAACCCTTGAAGGGAGTTCACATACAGTATACCCAGATGGGGAATTGAACACGAAACGAAGCATGATGGGTGAAGGCTTTAACCTATAGACTACCCACTGCCACAGTTAATGAGAAAACAACACTTACATCCACCTACCTTATACCTACAAATGTACATGTGGCATCCTAAGACGGGACTAGACCAGAGTGAGTGAGGGAGCAGTATTCCAGTTATATCACGGCGTTTCAGCTTGATGTGAGAGGAAGGACTGAGTTGGAGTATACTGGTGGTTTGAGTGAGCTATCAGCAGTGTTACTGTTATGTTGGTGTGTCATGTACGTTTATTACTTTGTAAGCACGGTTGGTACTGACAAACCTAGAAACATAATCGGGAGAAACAAGGACTCGAACCCATTATCATAGGTTTCTTGCGTGCCACTAGGACACAGATCTGATTGTGTTTGTTTAACGCCGCACTCAGCAATATTCCAGCTCTATGGCGGCGGTCTGTAAATATTCGAGTCTGAACCAGACAATCCAGTGACCAACAACATGGGCATCAAGCTATCTGTCGATGACATGTGTCAGCCAAGTCAGCGAGCCTGACCTTCCGATCCCGTTGATTAGTCGTCTCTTAAGAACATAGATCTGCGTGCCGTTGTTCAAAGAGATCATAGCGCTAAGGTGACCGTAACTCCAATATTTTAACATAGACTTAAGGTAGTCTTTGCGCTAAGGTTGTTGTATACAACAGCACCCTGAACAGCAAATTGCGGTGCCCAGGTCGAACAACCCATCCGTGCCTTCAACTGTTTGAAAAGTTTGGATTATGCCGGTGTTTTTCTGTTTGTGTTTGATGCTTGAGTGTCATATATTCCTAACAATTGTCATTGCTATTTTTCAGATCTCAACTTTTGGAACTACTTCTGAATACCGCCAAGACAGGTGACCAGGATGTCAAGAACACGCCCCCAAACTATAACTCAGGTAACCGCCTGTTGCATTCAACACCAGCAGTCATCTGTCTCTAACACCAGACCCTTCCAGTTCTTCTGTTTCTATCTCTGCGTTGATGTTATCAACGTGCCTGAAAGGCTGTAGTGTGTGGGAACACGGCTATAACACCTTGCGTTACCGGGCTGCCATAATCCCCCCGATTCAATTCCAAAATAGATTTAACAAGTACCAGAGCAAAGGGCTCTGATGTTTCCTAGGCAATGATTCTTCTTGGAATTGCACTCGTTCGTACTTCCTGGCCTTTAAGTTTCAACTACGTCACATGCAAATTATATAACGGAATGTTTGTAAAACGGTTTCGGACAACCTGGCTTCACCACTTAACCTCTGAATTTTTACCCATGCATTTAAGTTAATCATCACAGGATCTAGTGCGATAACAGGCGCTTCACTTAAAAATTCGATCGAGGTTACTTTCAAAATATATTCGTATTAATATATTAATATTAAGACAAATATTCCTTTTAACAATATTTAAAATGGGTCGCTGATGACACCATTTCCAATACTGTAACTTCTTTTAGCGGCATTTTAGAAGTTGGACGTACAAGATTGTCAAACCTGTATACACATAACTTCATAGTGAGTGCGACCTTTCTATACAGATTCTTGTACAGCTGTCAAGCAGAAATGTAAAGTGAGGTTGTCGGGGATGGATATATGCTGAATGTAACAAAGAAAACAACATAATTGAAATAATTGACTTGGCAGTAAGCTGATAAAGCCTGTTAGGAAAGGCGTGGAAGCCAGAGATGTGCAAATCAAAGGGTGTAGTTTAGACAGGAAAAGATGTTTATACAATTGATTGGGCTTGGTGGAGCAGTAGTCTTTAATGTTGAGGTCATTGAAATGCAGTTCGCCGTCAGCCGGTGTTTTAGAGCCGCGTGATGATACAGTGTTTGGACGAATGTTGCCTTAACTTATTAAGCTCTGGCATTGGTACTTGGTGCATGCTCACGGGCACCTGGGGTCAGTGGAGATTGGTAAATAACGCACATGCCACAACGCCTGTAAGTGAGGTTGCGAAGTACACCAAATGTTTGAAATTGCATTTATTCTCGGGGATTTCATTCCGACCAGCTGTGGTCATGTTCACTCACCTGTAAAATACATCTCCACATTTTTTGTTTCTTTTAGAGGCTTGTAGGGACCATGCTGTCAAAATTATCTTAATTAATCAGCAAAATACTGAATGTTTTCTTAAGAACTTTGGAATTGGGGTAATACATAACGCATGTCAACCAGCTGTCTTATACGATGCTTTTTATGATCGTATAATTTATTAATGTTAAAAAATCATGTTATTGGTAATTCAAATTTATCTTTGCTGATCCATAGTAAAATGAAATGTTTAATGTTTTTGTAAACCTGCGTTTAAGACCGCAGATCTTGTTTGAATTGCTTTGAGCAGTACGGAGGGGTGTATATCAAACAAACAGAAGGGCGGTAAGTAATAAGGATGATTTCGTTCATTTACAGTTATGTATAGCAGGATGGTTAATTCCGAATTACCCGCCTTATCAGGCAATTATCCAGTACCCTGCTGGGCGGAGATTTTATAGTCTGTCAATAGACACAACTTGTTTGATCGGGATTACAGCATTCAAGGCTTCAGGCTTTCAAAACGTTTATGGTGGACATGCGGAGGACATTTTCACACTGAATCACCACAGGATTTAACTACCGCGATGAGAACCATTATATTGTTTCTGCCATAGGTTCCAGATCCAGTTACGAGCAAGTCTTACTTTTAACCGGTGACTCTCATCTCTCATTATCGTTAGTGACGGCTATATTGTCTGGTGTTCCCTGCCTTTTATCAAACCCTATCGCAAGACGTTGTTCATGCTATCAAGCCCGAGTTTAATATCCAACCAGTTTACGATTATATACTAAATTCGTCCACTTACAACTGTGGGATACTCACCCACATACAACTGTGGAATATTCACCAATATGCAACTGTAGAATATTCACCCACATACAGCTGCGGAATATTCACCCACATACAGCTGTGGAATATTCACCAAAATACAACTGTGGGATATTCACCCACGTACAGCTATGGGATATTCACCCACATACAACTGTGGGATATTCACCCACATGCAACTGTGGAATATTCACCAATATGCAACTGTGGGATATTCACCAACTTACAGCTGTGGAATATTCACCCACGTACAACTGTGGAATATTCACCCATATACAGCTGTGGAATATTCACCCACATACAACCGTGGAATATTCACCAATACACAACTGTGGAATATTCACCCATATACAGCTGTCGAATATTCACCCACATGCAACCGTGGAATATTCACCCACATACAACTGTGGAATATTCACCCACATACAACTGTGGAATATTCACCCACATACAACTGTGGAATATTCACCCACATACAGCTGTGGAATATTCACCCACATACAGCTGTGGAATATTCACCCACATACAACTGTGAAACAGTCACCCTCATACACGTCTTGGATACAGTAACCCTTACAGTACACGTTTCTGAACAGCTTCATCTATATTCTAAAGAACTCTAGGCCATCAGCAACAAACATGTCAGCTCAAAATACGTAATAATAAACAAGACAAAGGCCACTAGATCTTGACATACATTAACATAGAAAGGCAGCGCGGCATTCTGCCTCAAACAACATCTGCTAGTCCAGGCTTTCTACATGGTAAACAGCCACGTACATAAATCAGAGGTACATCCGGTGGCGTTATTCATGTCGACGCGACCCACACGGCTAATAATGCTGATCCTTATTCATCTTAAAGGCGTAATTGATGCAACATTGGATATCAATACGTCAGAAGGTACCGTACGGATTTGATCGGTTGTATTGACACATATCCAGTATTTCTTCCACGGGTGTCAATGTTTCTTGTATAATAGGATACTGATCCCTGATGTTATACATCATTCTGACAGTAAAAAATGAAGCTGATATTCATTTTTTTGAATAGTGTAGCAATTACAGGCATCTGGAACCCTTCATGAAATTTACACAGTTCCTCCCATCAATCCTTCAGTAGAGCCCTGATGTTGGTTGCCATCCAACAGAATTCCTTTGGGCCGCCGAGTGTCTTGTACGATCTGGAGCTCTTGAGAAGAAATGTACCATTACGTTAGCATATTTTACTCAAACTGCACCAAGTTGTTTCAATTGTTCAAATTTTTCGACCAATTAATGTTGCTGATGTTTTTTATTGCCTGGCGGTGTTATATTAGAACTCACGTGGGTGGATTTGAAGTGCATGCATTCCTTCTAATTTCGTACTATGGATTTTGAGTGCTTTGAGTGCAATTATTTTGTGAAATTATGGGTAATGTGTAAGAACAAGCTAGCCTTTAATGAAATCAAATAAAATAAGGTGCAGTTGAAAATGTTTTTGTATGTTTCTTGAACGTCTGGCTGATAGTACTATTGGACATGTATGCATTCGTATATTTTCGTATGAAATATGATAATGGAAACTCCAGTGCCTAGTCAATACAAAATTATGATTCCAGATCAATGTGTCATTTCATAAAGCGAAACCTCATTAATTCGAATCCTTTACAAAAAATGAATACAACTGTATAACTTTGGAGAACAACGGATGCTGGTATTAGAGTCAGTGAGTGAGTTACTGCTTTGAACAATATTCAAGTCATATCAAGGTGTATCAGCTTGAGGTCGGATGAAAGCCCGAAGTGATGCATGGCGATTATCACTTATGTGAACTCCACGAGCACATGTATGGTGTTGACATACTTGGAAGCATTGTCGAGGCAAACATGGATTCGAACCCACAATTATAGGTTTCAGGCTTACCCAAGCGTCGCAACTCTGGGCACAGCGAATTACGGCGCCACAGAAGACTGGCCAGTCCGTGCTACTTCCCACATTTAACCATATTTGTTGGCCCGATAGGGAATTCTTGTTAATGAGATTTCCCTGTCAACCTTTTCTAGATCTTCCCAATGTACTCATGCACAAAACGATGGAGAAGGTTTTCATACTTTGACAGCAAAGTATTATTCTTCAAATTAGAACAGGCGACGCAATCGAGCAAAAAGATGTTGCCTTTGTCATATTCAAATTACGTGTATATACAGGTGAAACACCTTTTGTAATTAACTGGTATTTCAATACACGTACATTTATCTTGCAGCCCACATTTAGTTGTTAAATCATTAGAGTCCAAATAAAAGTCATATTTGAGGATCGTCATTGCCTCTGACCGCATCCGTGGTGTAGTGGTTAGAGCGTCCGCCCGGAATGCGGAAGGTCGCGGGTTCGATCCCCGACCGCGTCATACCAAAAGACGTTAAAATATGGTACTTGTTGGTTCCTGCCTGGCGCTCGGCATTAATTGGTACAACAAGGACTGGTCGGCTCGGGAGTCAGTATAATGTGTCTGAGTGGGGTATTCATGCTTCACTGCGGCATGGTATCTCAGTGGGCTAGCACTATAAAACCAGCCTAAGTCTGGGCTAGTACAAGCAGCCGCACATACACATACACACGCATGCACGTCGTCATATGAGCGAAATATTCTCAAGCACGACGTCAAACCTAATTTCACCTCACCTCGTCATTGCCTCTGTTTTCTGTTATTGATGCGGCATGATGCAATAATGCAGTTAACGTGTCTTGAATTAAGATATTCGGTCGTGTTAATGAATGGTTTGATTTCTGTCTCATTGATATACGGGTAAATATCTCATTGATATCTAGGGGTTTAAAGTGTTCGCTCGTCACGCCGAAAGCCCGTGTTCGACTCTCAGCGTAGTTTCCATTTCTGGTGTACCCTGACAAGGCTGAAATGGCTTAAAGCGCACACACAGACACACAGACTCTCTTTCTCTCTCTCTCATTCACACACCAGTGACACTTTTCATGACGCAATGAGGTAAAGTACATATTTTATATTTTTTGAATATACAGTCAAATCCCGATGAGTCGAATCGCTGGGGACCAAGTAATAAATTCGACTTATCGATGTATTCGAGACATAGGTATGTCTATGAGGGTAGAAACAAAAGATGATTCAGTCCTAATTCCTCCGCCTAAGCATTTTTTTTATCTAATGATTTTACCCAATCCACAAATAAACAAGACGTCATCCAGGCAGACTTGTTGCGACAGTATGAAGTTGGCAGCATCCAGAGATTAGACTTTATTAAAACAACGCGACTTAGCAGATTTCAATCACTTATTGGGGCACCTTACTAACAGTGAATGGTCGGGAGCGACAGGTACTTCGAGTTATGCATAATATTCGAAACGCCGGCATTCGACTCATCGGGATTTGACTGTATTGTCATTTATCTTTGAGCTGCATGGACATAGACACTATGGCTATACAATGTTCATTCATAACACCGGTGTCATCACTGACATTAAGGGATCCACTGATATGGTTTTCACCGCTGTTTCGCGTTTTTCGCCCAGTGGTATTTGTTTCAGTAGACAGAGTGGTCCTGTTTCTCTGTCTGAGACTTTTCGCATTTAGATTATAACAATCTATTTATAAGCCCCATGGTACGTAAAGTAAAATGCGCAACTGGACAAAACATGAGTTTCGAACATAAACATCCTCTGGCACTTTTGTATCAACAGACTTTATATTCCTGTTACATACAAATCTATATGGTTTCATAGTAATAAAATAACTTCACCACTCGATAACGGGCAGCTTGGGTTTTATTCTCCCCAAGGAGATGAGAATGCAATTTGAATGCACACAAAATCGTTGACCGGGCTCATATGTATAAGGCTATGCGCTGAGCACTGAGTTTTGCGCCAAATAGCAGACCCCATGTCTGTAGTTGCTATGGTTATTTTTTGTTGTTTATCATCATACTCATTTATATTTTATTGTTTTCAGAAACGGCAACAGATATCGAGGTTATGCTGTACGTGGATAGCATTGACTCCATCAACGAAGCAAATATGGTATGTGGCAATCCTGAAAGTCACTGGTATATAGTGTTGAAGTAGCATAGATACAAAATGGGATATCATACGACATGCCCATATGTTACTTCCTACACTTCAGTGTATAAATCTCACTAATTTAAATAAGAATGGTTTAAAAATAGAAAGAGAAGTTTCCAATTTCAAAAGAAAATCGGTCCGTGAACCAATTGCATTTGTACTGTCTTCAGGCACATCTGACCCGTGTAGATCCGGGTCAGAATTGATCTTCAGCAGCCCATGCTTGTCTCCCCCTTGAAGATCCGGGTCAGAATTGATCTTCAGCAACCCATGCTTGTAAGAGGCGACTAACGGGATCGGGTGGTCAGGCTCGCTGACTTGGTTCACACACGTCATCGTATCCCAACTGCACTGATTGATGTTCATGATGTTGATCACCGCATTGTCTGGTCCAGACTCGATTATTTACAGACCGCCGCCATATAGCTGAAGTATTGCTGAGTGCGGCGTTAAACAACAAACCACCTAGCCAACCAAGTCAAAAACCTTCTCATACTGAAGTGTTCATAAAGTGTTTCCTAAAATGTTCTAGCTTCACGTTACCATATCATTTATTATCACAAGTCTTAAATATTCATGTTATTACACAAATAAAGCCTTGTATTTATTTATATGGATATGCTCCTGGTAACTTGCCTGAAGATTTTTAATTTATATTGGTATAGATAATTTGGGCCAAAGGGTCCTTATCAAACCATTTCTTTGATAGAAATTAAACGGATGCTGAAGAAGTATCAAGCTCTCGGTTATATTAATAAATTCTTCCTAACACTTCCAACAGGGTTTATATCTTAGGGAGATTCCTTAACACTCAATAAAGTAAGAAGTATTCTGGATATGATATTACACAGATCTTTTTGAGAGTTTTCTTCCTCGCATATACTACTTTGTTGTAATCAAAGAAAGATAATGTTATGTATTTTTAAAGGATTTTACCTGAGAACCGTTTCTTGTTTTTAAAGGCTTAGATTATAGCTGTCATTCAGACTCAGGGTTCAAAACTTTACTGACGATGTGTAAATAATTATGTATAAACAAATATAATGACAATAATTGCAGTGTGTAAAGTTTAGTTCGCTTATCAAAGACATGTGAGTCGATTATATTTCGTCTTTCGCAAATATGCGAGACTAAATCTGAAAATCTGAACTAATTCGTTAAATTTCAAACTGTCGAGGATAGCCACAGCATTTACTTTGTAACGATTGTGAATCGTCACCTAGTCATAAAGATCTGTTTTCCTTTTATGCAATATTACAAAGAGGACTAAGAATATCAGTTTCAAGGACATCTTTGTTTGGCGATAATAACACCTTTATGGCATTAATCCGAACCCCGTTAAGCCAAATGATGATACTTCGTGTGAAATCGTTCGAATTAACGCGTGTTGAGATAAACGAGCTCAGAAATAACCGCGGAATGTTCGATTCATCCAGGATTCACTGTATGTACCTACCTATTATATACTCATGGTATATCTCCACTTGTGTTGCAGGACTTTACCTTAAGTGTCTTACTGCATCTACAATGGAAGGACACACGTCTTGTCAGCTTTAACATTGGTCCCTCATTTGGAAATCTTACATTTCTCGAATTCGACTCACAAAGTATTCAAAGGATATGGGTGCCAGATATATTCTTCCCGAACGAAAAAAAGGCAAGCTTCCATGACGTCATGATGGCCAATCAGATGATGCGATTGTATCGTGATGGTTTGATTCTCTACATATCCAGGTAAGTAACGCATCATCATGTTTTACGACTACAATGAAGCTGTCCTTGTAAACTGGGATCCTTCTTTACATATTGCTGATCATGTAGCTGAGTGTTATTTGTTGTTGCTTTTCACACACGAGAAAGTGCCAGGATTTGAATTGTACGTTATGTGTACATGACGGTGTTTCCCTTGCGATCATTGATTGTTTGTTTGTTGTTTATCGCGGCATTCTGTGTATAGCTATAAATAAACGATTCTGGACTGGACATATAGTGATTGACACAGTGAGCATCCATGCGTTGAGATGCGATGACATGTCACCCAAGTCAATGAGCTTGAACTTAGTCGCCTCTTACGACAACCATGGGCTACTGGGGATCATTTCTAAAACGGACCAAGTCTACTTGCATGTTGCTGACAATGTAATCAATGGAGCATGTACCTTGTGAATTGGTAGACTGTCAGTTTTACCTGGAGTCATGGCGCATATTTCCTGTTCGAAACTACGAGCAGTGGATCCTGCCATGGACAAGGGGCTGAAGTGTACCTGCCACTTCGCTGGTCACATGGAACTTTATTTGTCTGTTTACTGTATGTATTAACCGATTTAGTAATTTTGAGGTGTCCGACATGGTATCAGAAGATTCGTGGTTCGACTCTCAGTGTGGGGAATTGAAATGTTATGAACGCTTCAAACACATGAGTCGGGTTCATTTATTTACTGCTCAATATTAAATGATTTTATTAAAACCTAATATTTCAAATGATGATGTCAAGATGTAACTCGATGGGTCTCAGCGCACTACGAGTACATGTAAGACATTCAACCATTTCTACCCATATACAACATCTAATATTTTAAAGCCACACTCAGCAATATCCGAGCTATATGGCGGCGGTCTGTAAATAATCGAGTTTGGACAAGACAGTCCAGTGATCAACAGCATGAGCATCGATCTACGTAGCTTGGATTCGAAGACATATGTCAACCAAGTCAATGAGCATGACTACCTCGTTAGTCGACTCTTACGACAAGCATGGGTTACTTAAGACCAAGTCTAACCCGGATCTTCACGGGTGTATTGTAATAAGAAATGGTATTTTGGAAAATGGTATTTTTGCATCACATGTACCTCACGGGCAATGTGGAGATTGGGGTTTTCAAGCGTTTAAAGTGTTTGCTAGTCCCGCCGAATTTCCCTCAAACACGGACAGAGCGAAGACAATAGATTCCCCACCAACCAGACTGAGCGAAGACAATTTCAGGTTGCTTTATTGGAATATCACTACACAAGCCAAGTACTCAATAACTCATCGGAATATGTCTCCCCACACAAACACACACACCGTTGCCCCACTTCCACCCCCACTCTCCCTCATCAAGCATTCTGGTAAGACGATGGTAATCACAGTACAACTCTTGATGTCATTCAGAGTTTCCTTGCTACCAGATCTAAGCACCACCAGATCAAAGAGCTGACACCCTTTCGAGAATCCACCAAATCATACCCTATCCTGACTGTAATTTCTCTGACGCTGTCGTAATTAAATGTATTGCGACGACCCAAGATGCCTTTTAAAAGAGACCCAAAGAGAGACTATACAATGAACCCATGAAGATGTCCCTGGTCCAAATTAATTTAATTCCTGTATTGCAGCCAAATAAGTGCCTTCAGGTTGAAGCGGTGAGATCAGCTTCGAATAGATTTTGATGATCTTTCTTTCGTTTAATTTCAGGTTATCGATGACATTGAGTTGCCCTATGAACCTGCGGTACTATCCATTCGACAAACAGTCGTGTTCGGTCCAGATCATGAGCTGTAAGTATTGTCATCGCAGCAGCTGCGCACGCGCCATTATCGCATACATTCAGGAGAACCTGTTTACTGGGAGCCAGGGAAATTGCTTTGGTCCCCTTGGGGTTGTATTTGTAGACGGTCTCTCCCGTTCGTGATTGATTAGCAAATGATGAACACTGGACGCATTGTTGCATCATTAAACGCTTGTCACGGCCTTGTGTAACCCTGGGGAGAGAAGGTCGTAATGATACTGCCTCTTGAAGCCGTCATCCTTTGAGCCGTCATCCGATTGTCTGTTTGTCGAATTGACCAGATGACGGGCATTAGATTGCGGTGGTCACTTTTTTCGCTGATTTGATTGATTGGCAATATTATAATTGAAATTAATTGATTTTCTTTTTATACGGGTAAATTTGATTAGGTTCGACATCAATTTATGACTCAATACAGTTTGTGTTAAAAACACTTAAGAAAAAAGTTTTAAAAAGTGAAATTGATTGAAACATTTAATCAGATAAGGTTTTAGGTTTTAATTTAATTGTTTTGTTTTCTTTCAATCGCATGGGATTGGGCATGCCTATAAACAATGCGACTCAGTGCTTAAAAGAAACTCATCAGGATATTTCATTGGGGCCTCTGAATATTGCATTTTCTAATTCAATACAATTTTGCCGAACTAGCCTAGGATATCACAAACGAGATGCAATAATTGTATATTGTAGCTGAGTCTAAAAAACAGTGACAGTGGCGCTGCCTAGTGGTTAAGGCGTTCGCTTGTCACGGCGATGACCCAGGTTCGATTCCCCACATGGGTACAATGCGTTGATTACCCTCCACATCTGAAGGTGTTGTGCAAAATTGTATTTTGATATTTTTGATTGATCGAGAATTATCACAAACTCTTGAACTCTGAAAAATGTCCCACATCAAATTTGTTCAACCAATAACTTTACAATCATTTAATGAATGTTTTTGCTTCGGGTAATGGCTTTTCAGATTATAAGAAAAAAGTGTACTGCAAAGTGTGATAAAAATCTTGTATAATCAAGAATAATCATTATTAACTGTTTTTCGGGTGAAGTTGGGAGTTACGGTCTGGGTATTAGTGAGTCTTGCTCACATTGTTTGGCTTGTCTGAAATGATATTCTTATGATCACAACTATCGCCAGTTTATCACTTTAAAAGTTTATCATTGTTTTCACGTATTTGATTTTAACTATTAATATTTGTTTATGGGTTGTTTATTGCTATACGCCTGTCCAACAGTATACCACTACGGAGCTTTGCTTATCAGTTGAGGACAAGGACCATTTATTTCACTTAACACTGCGTTCATTTATTATTCGTATCTCTGGTCTCTCAACGTAAACATTGAGTCAGATGCAGGTAAAATCACAGGCCCTCGTGTCTTTGCGAGGATTATAGGTTAAAAAATAAATTGAAATAAAACATATTGAGATAACCGCCGACACGAAATGCTTCGTGATTTATTGTACTGTGAAGTATCTCGCGTCGGGGGTCATATCAAAATTTATTTGTTTTAATCTTTAATCCTCGCAGAGACACGAGGGCCTGTGGGTAAAATGTCATAATGCAACCTAACATTTATATTTGCAGTCGGATACGCCGAGGACAAACTCAACCTTAAATGGATGAATTCGTCTAACAGCGAGCCCGTTGTTGTTAACGACATCGTGGAGTTGCCTCAGTTTGAAGTGACAGGATCCGAAGCCAACAGATGCAGGAAGAAATACCATCAGAGCACAGGTAATTGTGTCATCGACACCATTTCTCCATTCTATATTGATAAATACCCGAAACCAATTCGATCGCTAGTATGGAAGCGAAAGACACCCAACCAATCAAATTACACGCATCAGCGAGGAAAAATCTGTGGGATGTCACTGATTAAAGGGATTGGGATTGGGACTTTCTGATAACCTACAAAACGAAACTATGTCATCGGAGTGAGTGAGTGAGTTTAGCTTTACGCTGCACTCAGCAATATTCCAGCTATATGGCGGCGGTATAAAATCTAGTCTGGACCAGACAATCAGGTGATCCACAGCATGACTATCGGTCGACGAAAAATGACATCAGAATTATAGGTAATAGGTTACCTGGGTACATCTGGAATTATACAATATTGCTCAGCCAATCAGAATCCAACATGGATGTATACTATAGAGAGTAAAATTTGGTGGTATACCTCTTCGCATATATTACTAGTAAACGCAAAGAATACGTGTCAAATATTGTGATGGGAATCGAGTATGTGGGTAGGAAAAATGAAAACGTTGAACATCTATCAAGTTATTTTAGCTAGTGATGTGGCGTCGTATGGGCGATATACTTCTATAGAAGTAGAGTGGTGTTAATATCCAATACTGCCCATGTCCTATAAGCAAGAATTGTAACTGCTTGATAAAGCTGAACACCTTTCAATTAAATATATTCGGAAACTTCCTTAGAGCGCTTGGAGCAGGCAGTGTGTTCCTCTTATAAGATATATAACAATATGATCACTCCATACGGTGAAGTCTTGACCTCACTCTGTTACATAAGAATGTGGTAAATTCACCCCTATTACCAAAACAAAATGTTGACACTTTAATATGTTCAACATTTAAATCACTATCATTTTACGCACAAATGTACAGGAAATCCACTACGCTTTCACAGTGTTTGTGTATTTTTTCATCAATTCTGTTTATGCTGTTTTGTCTTTGTTTACAGGCGTTCACAGTTGCCTCCAGGCAAACTTCTTCCTCGCTCGCAACATTGGCTACTACGTCGTCCAAATGTACATCCCCAGCATCCTTATCGTCATGCTGTCCTGGATCTCATTCTGGCTCACCGTCAACTCAGTTCCAGGCCGCATTTCATTGGGCGTACTGACTGTTCTCACCATGACAACGCAAAGTTCAGGGGTCAACGCCTCACTTCCGCGCGTGTCATACACTAAAGCTATTGACGTGTGGATGTCCACCTGTCTGGTGTTTGTTTTTGCCGCACTGCTGGAGTTTGCTATAGTCAACGTCTTGAGCCGCAAGGAAACCCTCTCTGGTTTCACGATACGCAATGTGTTCAGTATTCCTAGAGATTTGGAAAAAGGGGATCAGCTGAAAGAGGTAAATGTAGCTTCTTGTTAGGAAGTGAGTTGGGTTCAATCCTGATTTGAGTGAGTGAGTTCAGTTTTACGCTGCTTTTAGCAATATTGCAGCAATATCACGGCGGGGGACACCAGAAATGGGCTTCACTCATCGTACCCATGAGGGAAATCGAACCCGGGTCTTCTGCGTGACAAGCGAACGTTTTAACCACTGGGCAGCGGTCTATAAATATTCGAGTCTGGACAAGACAATCCAGTTTTCAACATCGTGAGGATCTATCTACACATTTGGGATACGATGATATGTGTCAACCAAGTCAGCGAGCCTGACCACCCTATCTCGTTAGTTGCCTCTTACGATAAGCATGCGTTGCCGAAGACCAATTATAAAACGGTTCTTCATGGGTATCCAGATAATGTGAAACCTTTAGGTTACACAACACCAAATGTTTTCCCATAGACTTCTATAGTAACGTTACATTTTTAAAAATCATCCAGGCTGTCAACAGCCATGTATACATGGGTAGTCTGGCCTTTAAACTACAATAAAAACACAATTTCCGGCTAACTTATCCTGCTAATTTTCCGAGCACAGGCAGCGGAACACATCAATCCCAGTTCCGCACCAAATGTCACCTACTGGAAAATATCTGTACACACAATAAGCATACATCATGGTGATAAATATGACAGCAAGAAACACTTAAAATTGTGGTCAGTTTTAATTACTGGATAGATGTGATTTTGAAAAACATAAAAATCTTACACTATTTCATCCAATCACAGCTGTCACATGTCTCTATCTCTTACATGCTGTTCTCGCTCAGGTAGCATGTGATTCTGATTTAGTGGAACCTTTACTAACGAATGAGCAAAGTTGGAAATCACGTCTTTGCATGTGCTACTGCATTTGTTTCCACCAGAATACGTACATCAGTGTGTGTCTTCTCTTGCAGCAATCCTCACCGTTGGACGGCGGCACACCTCGAGACAGCTATAGCACAAAGCGACCGGGCAAACGTGGGATAGTCTACGCCATGTACTTAGATGTGGCTTCCAGAATCGGCTTCCCCGTGGCATTCATATTGTTCATAATGGTGTACTGGCTGTATTACATCAACGTTGAATAACATGGAACTGGTGGACAATGGTGGACAAGGGTCCAGGTTATTTGACAAATGGAACATAATAACGACAAACTCCTGTTAGAATATGATTCCTGTTGATGCATTGACAAACAACAGTGACAAGGGTTGTGATGCTGTATTTTGTGACGGAGTAGAAGGAATTGTATACCATGTGTATGGTTTAAACATTGCAACTAGATGCGGGGTACTACATGTACTGCATGAAAGATAATATATTGTGTATATACCAACTACATGGCACATCTGAAGGTGAATTCTTAGCTTATTGGACGGGCATCCTGTGGTTATTTGGACTATACCATCTATAAAGCGTATTTGAAGGTGAAGGAATAGCTTATTGGACAAAATTCCCGTGGTGATTTGGACTATACCAACTATATACCATATTTGAATGAGAATGTTTAGGTCATTGGACGGGATTCCTGTGGTTAATTGGACTATACCAGCTTTCAAGCATATCTGAAGGTGTAGGTATGCTTATAGGACAAAATTCCTGTGGTTAATTGGACTATACCAACTATATTCCATATTTGAATGAGAATGCTTAGGATATGGACGGGATTCCTGTGGTTCATTGGACTAGACCAGCTTTCAAGCATATCTGAAGGTGTAGGTATGCTTATAGGACAAAATTCCTGTGGTTAATTGGACTATACCAACTCTATTCCATATTTGAATGAGAATGCTTAGGATATGGACGGGATTCCGGTGGTTAATTGGACTATACCAGCTATAAAGCATATATGAAGGTGAATGCATAGTTTATTGGACGGGATTCCTGTGGTGATTTGGACTAAAGCCATCTATATACCATATTTGAATGAGAATGTTCAGGTTATTGGATGGAATTCATGTGGTTTAATTGGACTATATACCAACTACAAAACGTATTTGATGGTGAATGCATAGCTTATTGGACGGAATTTCTTTGGTTATTTGGACTATACCTGCTTTATAGCATATCTGAAGGTGAATGCATAAGTTATTGGATGGAATTCCTTTGGTTAATTGGACTATATCAGCTATACAGCATATCTGAAGGTGAATGCATATTTTATTGGGCGGAATTCCTGTGGTTATTTGGACGATACCTGAACTATTTTAAAGTGGCTCTCGAAGCAGAGACTATCAGCAGTTGTTGGCATTGCCACAATGATTCGAATCGAACGAATGTGTCTTTGTTTCAGAAAAAATATCTTCCAGTTGTCATTATGAAGTAAAGCCCTGGCACTGAGAAGGGTATCCAAACAACAACAATATTTTCCGTCATCAATGTTTTGAAATTTTGGTAAAAGATTTTGACCGGACGACATTTTGTTTCCCTCGTGCAATGAACTGTTTGATGCTCTTCGTCGTCAACGGTATATACATGTAAGCTCCTCAGACAGATTCAGCTGCGACAATCATACTAAACCATATCAACACCTTTCTCACTCAAAAATATATAAATCCCATCTGTGCAATGTTGATGTTATTTGATATGATGTAGCCATGCCATTTGAGTAGTAGTGAGGTGTTTCTCAACACGATATTGGGCACTTCAGCCACATTGTACTACACAATTTCTCACTGTTGAATTTCCTTTTGTTAGCAATGCCATGATATGAATGAACGTATGAGTGCTACCTTGTCTTACACATTTTTATTCTTACCTTGTTGCAATATGTTATGTACTAGTGTATATATTGTTTCATATGAATCACCACAGTACCGGTGACTGTTCCTTTGGTATTAGCCCTTCTCTTGAAATGAATCCTTCAAATCTATGGCACATTACATGTTGTTTGTGGTGATAAGTATGTTTCTGTATTCACAGTGCAATGAACTTTACTCTGTGACTCGAGGCGGTGGAACCTCGTAAACTCGAACTCGGTTAACTTGATGTTTCAGGGGTCGGTGGAGTGGCCTTGTGGTTAAAACGTTAGCTCGTTACACCGATCGCATACATAAGTACAACGTGTGAAGCCCTGAACGTCTGGCATTCCTCCCCCATTTAGCTTGCATGCCGTTACATAACTGGAATACTGTTAAAAAACGGCGTTGACCTCAGCTCACTCCTTGTTGGCATTGAGAGTAAAGCATTTTCATGACAGCCCTTGGTTCGTGACAATGAGTTTTCACTCCATGGCTTCCTTATCGCCTTCACAAGCAAAGTAACAATCGGTAGGAATCTTGAACCTAAACCCTTATTCGTCTTCACCTTAACGCACATCCGCTTCCCAATGAGCACAATCACTGAAGAATGCAATCCAAGTATTATTGAATAACACGACAGTGTGAGATGTTTCAGTATTGCTGAAATTATTGTAGATGTTTACATAAATTTGCACCATGTTTCCCATTTAACACTTCCTCGGTTAACTAGATACCTGTATTCTTGCAATACAACTCTTGAAGTCCATACACTTCTCGAGTTACCGTCATGATTTTAGCTTACGTGGTGCAATACTGGCCAGATTATGACCTTTGGTAATACCCATCCTCATTGGTCTATAACTCTACCCTCACCGCGTGGAGGTACGTCCCACATTACGCTGATTCTGTTATACGTATGTAATACTCTTCAACGCGGCGTGAGCCCTGACCAAATAGAGCTCAAGTGTCAAGTTCAAGAGTCTACTGAAAAAATGAAAACAACATCAAAACTGCTCGTTCTCGTATCATCATCTGAATTGTTGTCTGGACACGTGTATTGGGAAAAGCTTCAATAATGACTAAAGCTAGTGTTTTTGAAGCAATAAACATATGGTTTTCAATCGTATTTTAAATATAACTGGTGATTGGTTACGCTGATTTATTTGTACATCCATAAACACATGGTAGTTATATGTTATACCATTTATTCACCCATTTACAATGTAGTGCTCATTTACTGTTGGCCATCGTCTGTAGCTTCTATGTGCAAGATGTAGAATAACAAAATCGACGTGCCTTCATGTTTCCTTAGAAGCTTCAGATATATGCATATTCTAGAATATTACATGTGTCTGTCCGATGCAAACAGTTAGAATAAAATGAATGTTTTGTGCTAATCAAACCTGTATAAGATAATGAACATCCAATTTATTTTGCAAAGTTTGTTTAAACATGGTTTCGGCAGTATGCCCACAGTTCAGACGGGTCGATCAACAACAACTGTTGTGTAGATATAGAACACTGATCTCATATCGTTATCGTTAACTTGTTTTTGTCTTTCAGCTTATATCCATAAGCTCAATACACCTGTTAGCCTTTGCAAGCTGTTTTAGATCTGAGTGTGTCAGAAGGTCAAGTGCAATATTTGGTGTTTGTGATAGTCACGCTGCTTCTTGAAAAGGACCGATTTTCTTGTTGGACAAATGCTGCGTTCTGAGAACGAAATTCTGGTTTCAGCCATTTACCGCATTGATAATTACACTGAACCTACTTGATGAAACATATTAATAAAATAGGGCGAGTTATTTCAAGATATTATATTTCCTAACCAATAATTTGGGTTTCAGCCATTTACCATAGTGATAATTTGACGGAACCAAACATATTAATTAATTAGGGCGCGTTATTTTAAGGTATTGTAGTTGCTAACCAATAATTTGGGTTTCACCCATTTACCATACTAGTAATAATTTGACTCAAACGATTTGATGAAACAGTTTAACAAACTAGTGTGAATTTATTTTTCAAGGCTGTTTAGTTGCCATCCAAGAATTTTACGATTGTTTCAATGAACCCGAAAGATATTAGGTCACGCCCACTACGGGAATACTGTTTCTTGATTGGATGATAAACGAGTGGGTGGGGCTTGTGTTGCAGTTTTGAGCATAAGTGATTCCGTGTGGTTGTCAACCAGTTTGGGTGTTCATACTAAAGTAAGATGTCTATGAGGTTGTTACTTTTAACTTGTATATTTATAAAACGTCAAGTAAATGTTTGCATTTGGAGTATAAACATGAAAAACGGTGTGAGCAAACCGGTTTTACGTGTATACCGAAATAAATTGAAAATATATTGGAAAATGTTCTTAATAATATTGCATAAGTAATTTGAACCATTCTTAATGGCAAAGACTCAGGATCACTTAGATGCAAAGCAAAATCATATTGCTATTGTTTGATATATGGTATTTTGTTGTAACACAATTCTTAATTAACAGGATCATTTAAAGCAGGCCGTATTTTATCGTATTTCCACAATCACTTGGCACCAGACCCTTCAATCTTTCATGCAACTCACTTCTCTGACTTTTCTTGTTATTCTGTTAGTCCACATCTGGTGGAAACTTGATTCATGTTGAGACGTGGAATCATTGTTTGAATGACTGTTTGAATGATCAATAAAATCACATTATTTCTGTACACAGTGTTATATGTTTGTAACATCGGCCGCTGACGGTGTTGCTCACTCATGAAACCATGGTTCTAATCGGTACACTGTGAAACCCTGTTTTGCATCTCCGGTAAATGTGCCAAAGTGATTCAGGTTTCAGACGTTTACCGATGTGGCGAAACCAACGAGCACGGAGAGCGTGTTGCGAAACCTAGAAACGTAATCGGGCGATTCGAACTCAGGATCAAGCGTTTGTTCCCAAGATCTTAACATTCTGGAAGGATTGTGCTTGGTGACTAGCTGGTAGGCAAGACTTAGGACCTGGAATTTAATTCTGGCCCTGATTGGTAGCCAGTGCAGAGTCTCAAGAACAGGCGTTATGCGGATCCTTGAGGGAACTTTGTTGACAAGTCGAGCTTGCAGAGTTTTGTACTTTCTGGAGTTTTAATAGAAGTTTTTCGGAAAGACCACAGAAGATGCTATTATAGTTGTCAATTTTAAAAAAAACCCAGAGATCGCACTAGAGCATGAGCTGCCACTGTAGGAGTTTCTGAATACGCAAATGGAGTAACAGGATTTGCAGACTGTGTCAATATGAGCTTTCAAAGAGATCAGAGTCCAAATGAAGTCCAGAATTTTTACGGTCACAAAACGTCACAGATTACGTCATAGGGTATTGTGACGTATTTGTAAACTTTGTACTGCAGAATGTTAACCCCTTGCCAAGGGACAATAGGCTTCCCCTTCAACCCGTCGAAAAAAATGGCAACATTTTTTCGACACAGTATGAAATCCACTATTATTTTAGACAAAGCTCAAGTTATTTGCAAAATGTATGTTTTTTGAAATGTGAAATCGCGATTCGGATTTGCTGTATTCCTGGATAATTCCTGGGTACTGAATTTCAAAACTAACCTATTCATGATCACTGATATCAGTTTTACATGAAATCGCTAATTATAATTCTGAAACGTTGCCGATGAATCTAGAATCGGTTGGGATGTTTTCGAAAATGCACTTACACGAACGCCGTAGAGCGC